CCTGAACCTTAATTTCTTCAGGCTAAACAACTCCAGTTCCCTCAGTCACAGCATCACCAGTGCTGAGTAGAGGGGGATGATCACTGTCCTTGTCCTGCTGGCCACACTGCTGCTGATACAGGCCAGGATGCCACTGGCCTTCTTGACCACCTGGACACACACTGTTTCTTGTTCTGTTGGCCAGCACCCCCAGGTCCTCTTCCACCAGGCAGCTTTTCAACCACTCTTCTGCCAGCCTGTAGCACTGCATGGGGTTGTTATGACCCTACTGCAAGACCCAGCACTTCACCTTGTTGAACTTCATACCATTGCCCTCAGCCCATAGATCCAGCCTGTCCTTCCACAAGACTTTCTGTCCTTTAGCAGATCAACTTGGTGGTGTCTGCAAACTGACTGAAGGTGCTTTCAATCCCCTTGTCCAGATTGCTGGTAAAGCTAATTAACAGGGCTGTCCCAAGTACTGAGCCCTGGGGAACACCCCTTGTGACTGACAACTGGTTGTAACTCTATTCACCATCATTCAAGTTTCTTCAGGAGAATTCTGTGGGGAATGGTGCCACATGTTTTACTAAAGTCCAGAAAGACAATATCCACAGCCTTTTCCTCATCCACTGAGCAGGTTATCTTGTCATAGAAGGGACCAGGTTATTCAAGTAAGACCTGCCTTTCGTAAACCCGCACTGAGTTTATGAAAGGTTTAGTGGTTGGACTTAATCTTTTCAAACCATAATGATTCTATATTTCTGTAATCACATTCAGATTCTTAGAATTGTGTGCACCTAAATGGTGCAGCAGGTCACTGATAATTTTATCTTGGATTATGGGGTCTTCATTCTGCTGTCACCCCTGTCTTCCAGGTCAGAGGGCTGGGTATCTAGAGAGCAGTTTGTCTTAGTATTAAAGACTGAGGCAGAAAAGGCATTAAGTACCTCAGCCTTTTCCTCCTTTGTCATTGTTTCCCCCACACTGAACACAGGCTGGGGATTATCCTTAGCCGTCCCTTTGTTGCTAATGTATTTATAGAAACAATTTTTATTGTCTTTTAGGGCTATAGCCAGAAAAAGTCCTTGTAGGGCTAGGGTTACTTTTGACATAGAAAGAGAAAGGACAGTTTCATGTCTCTTTTTGTCTTGCATAAAATCTTCCCAAGTTTTCATTGCTTAATCAAATTTAGTTTACAGTTAACTAGCTACAACAGAATCCTAAAAGAATAGAACCTGTGGTACTAATAGGTTAAATTCTCCAGGCAATGGATATTCTTAGAGCTAGAATATTATTCAAAAACTAAAACTATAGCTTTTTTTTTTGTCTTCTTTATTGTTTTTGTCATGGTTGACTTTACCTAATTTCTTTGTTCTTTCATTGATCCATGGCTTTATGTTTCCCCTTGGCATCATGGAGTGAATGTATGCCCAAAGAGTCAAACTAAAAGGAAAACACCATTTTCTTTTGATATTACTACATTTCTTTTATATATTCTTGCTGTCTTAATTATGTAGTTAGCTTAATCGTGTGGTTTCAGGCTGCAGTACATAAACACAGAGGGATCATAAATTATTAAAATCAATGCATCTCAATGCTCTATGCAAGCAATAAATTTTTGTACATTTTTTTATTAAAAATATGAAATGACTGGAAAACAGTTAAATTTCTTTATGCTACACAGCAGATTTAATGGAAATAGTCTTGTTGATTTCGCTAAGACCATGGCCATTGGGAATATATGAGCATACAGACTGTGTTTGTGTAATATGTATTGTGAACCTAATAGAAAATTTATTGTATATTATACCATCTGTCAGTTCTTATTTATCCTTGCATGTATTACAGGGAAATTATTCCCTCCCCTGTTAAAAGCATGGGGAATTTTTAGTTGTAAAATAAGTCAGATTTTTTAAAGTAAATCAAACCAGAGTACCACAGTGCTTTATTTTAAATTACAGTGATTTCGTAAACATCCCTTGGTGATCTAACACAAAATACATATCTGAAATTTTCCCTTCTTATTCACTATGTTGCAATATAAAAAGAAAACACAGTAATTGCTTTTGACTGATGTGCTTTCATTTTTTATATATTATTTGATAGGCTGACTTGTGGCATATGGGTCAAGCAAACCTTAGAGGAGATTTAAGCTTTCCAGTACCTAAAGGGGACCTACATGGAATCTGGAGAGGGACCTGGAGATGGAGCTTTTAAGAGAACAAGCTGGGATCAACTTAAATTGAAAGAGGTTCGGTTTAGGATATTAGGAAGTAATTCTTTACTGTAAGGGTGGTGAGGCACTGAAACAGGTTCCTCAAAGAACCTGTGGATGCCCCATGTCTGCAGGTTTTCAAGGCCAAGCTGCATGAGGCCCTGAGCAACCTGGTCTGGTGTAAGGTGTCCCTGCCCATGGCAGAGGAGTTGGAACTAGATGATCTTTGAGGTCCTTTCCAACCCAAACCATTCTATGGTTCTATGATTATGACATGCAGATAAACTGTACCACTCAGTGTGGCTATGCCAGGTCAGACTAGAAGATCTGTGAAATTCCATGTCCCTATCTCCAGTATTACCCAAAACAAATGCCTAAAGAAGAGCATTTCCTTAATACATTCAGTGGCAGGGTCATTTTTACATATTCAATAACCATTAGATTCTGTCAACTGGTCGTGTTTTCCTGCTAGATCCATGTAGCATTCACAGCACTATATATCAATTAGTTTTACAATTCCATGCCTCATTCCACATACCCCCTTTTCTTGTTATGAAACTGGCTTCAGTTCAGTTATTTGATGTTCTGTTTCTTCCTTTTGAAAAGATGAACATGAACTATTGTCTGTTTCAATCCACCATATCTAAGGCAGTCATTTTTTGAATCTCTGTAGTAGCATCTGCCTTGACGTTATATATTTTGTTTATTAAAAATGCCTTCTTAATTAATTGCTCATAGTACAAAATCCTTTGTTTACTTCTCATCAAATATATTTCCTTGTTTTGGTAGTTCCTTTTTTTTTTTTTTCAGATAAGAATGAGCCAAACTGCACACAGGTGAATGTGACTTGTGAATTTTGATGTTGTGAGCAATGTTCTATAACACTCTTTGTGGTTCCTCTTTTTTATAGATTCTTAATAATTTCTAGCATTTATAATGTATTTCTGAGGTATTCTATTTATTGCTTTAGTATTTGGTGGAAATGGCTGTCATAAGCCCAATGTCCTTAACTGGTAATGATCATATCAAACCCTTTTGTCCTAGATGTTGTTAGAATTGTCTTTCACAATATGAAACAATTCATATTTGTTTGTATTAAATTCCATGAGTTATTTTATTGGCCACAGCTGAGCCTTGACTTTAATACTCTGAGTAACTTTATAACATGAACAATCCCTTATCTTTCACTCCCATGCTCTTTTCAAGGCATGTATGCATAAAGACATTGAAAAACATAACCATAATTTGTGTTGGCAGGGTTCTCCAGAGGTCAGCTCATTCAGCTGCTTTCTCACAGCAGGTTTCATTAGACCTGATAGCTCAGAGTAACAGCTAGGAGAGTCTTGAGTACTTACAAGGACAGAGATACCACAAGCTCTCCATGCAATCTGAGCCAGTATTTAAATGTCCTCACAGCAATTTTAGTTGTATCTAATAAAAATTTAGTGGATTTTAACTTCTGTCCATAGCCTCTTGGCCTATCTCCAGGCACCTTGAAGGAGAGTCTGGTTTCATTGCCTCTGAATCCTCTGATCAGATAGCTGTAAACAGTAAAGCCTTCCCTGGGCCTTCCTTTCTTCTGAAGTCTCCCATGGAGTGCCAAGTAATCCAATTCCCTGTCTGTGTTGGTGGCCAGGGACACCTGACTGCTGAACCAGTACATCCATGTCCTTCCAGTTCTGGGGAGCAGAAAACTGGATGCAGCACTCTAGGTGTAGTCTTAGAAGTACCAAAAAAAGTGAAGTATTATTTTACTACTCTACATATTAAAATTAACTGTATTTGTACTCTGATAAGGTTGTCCTTAAAGATTAGCAAGCTCTTCTGGGCTTTTTTGCTTTCTGGGACAGTTTCTCTAATGATTCTACTGAACACACCCCTGAAAGGGCTACAAACTTCTCTTTTGGTGTCCAGGTTTGTAATTCTGCTGTTCTGTCTTACTCATTCCTCTCAGTAACCTAAATTCCACTGTCTCTTGGCTGGCACTGCCAAGGTTGATGTTTATCTTGCTCACTCAGATCAGGTTTTCCTTGGTTGTGGTTATCAGGCCCAGAAAAACATCTTCCCCATTCAGTTCATTGGTTTCCTGCATCAATAATTTGTCTTACATGCATTACAAAAGCTTCTTGGATTGCTTCCACCCAGTCATATTGTCCTTGTAGCAGATATCATGGTTGTTAAAAGTCATCCATGAGTATCAAGGACTGTGTCTGTGAGGCTTTCTCCAGCTATCTGGACTAGGCAACTTTTGACCATCCCCACACATCCTGTTGTTGCCTATCACTGTCACTGGATCACAGGGAGAAGAGATGAACACCTCCCTCTCTGCTTTCTCTCCTCAATTAGCTGTAGAGAGCAATGAGGTCACCCCTCAGCCTCTTTCTCTCCAAACTAGGCAAGCGTGGAGCTGCTCTTCAGGGGACATGTCTTCCAGCCCTTTTGGCAGCTTTGCTGCTCTGCTCTGGATACATCTTGAGTGCTCTTAAATTGTGGGGCCCAGAACTATGCATGGTACTCCAGATGAGGCTGCACCAAAATTGAATAGTCATAACCACCTCTTCTGACTGTCTGGTTGAGCTGTGTTTGATGCACTCTGGCATGAGGTTAAAACACCCTTCTTGGCTATTTAATTCCTTTAGATCCAGCCCATGCCTGCTCACTTCTTCTTCAAAGATGGTTGCATAGTCACAAAAGCCAGAGCTCTGCTTGCGACGTGACCTCACAGTTGGGTGCTCACCAGTGAATTTAGTCCATCTCTGTTTAAGCATCTCCCTCCTCAGTGAGAAGTTTAAGGAGAACAGCAGCTAGGCCCACATCTTTCCACCTGTAGATGCTCTTGATGCTGCAGGTTACTGCTGGCAGTATGATTGGTGCCTGTGTAAGGAAGAGGTAACTTTCCATAGGCTGAGAAGCCTTGCACAAGTGCTGCAAGGAGCTTCACTAATCTTGGCCCTAACCAAAAAATCTCCCAAGTCATGGGATCTGGTTAGAATACTGGAGCCTCTGTCACCTCTTCAGAAGGCAGCCACAATAACTACTGCATACCTTTTTCATGCAGACATGACCTATGACTTTGCAGAAATCACACTGCCTTTTCCCATAGCAAAAATACCACAATTCAGAAAGAGACCTCAAAATACACAGATGAATTGTATGTGAGTAAAAGTGGTGAAAATAAGAGGACTTTGCATTTTTTAAGGTGTCTGACATGTAAATAAAACTTGTGATTATTTTTAATTGATTTTTTCAGAAATGTTCCTCAGTAATAAAAGTAATCTATAATATATCAGGACTAACTAACTGTAACACAGTTACTAATTAAACACAGCATAAACACATCAAATAAGGAAAAGAACTGATGATAACCTACCATAAAATACCTAGTTTAAAGTGAATTCTGGTAACATTTTCTAGTTCTATTTCTGCTATCCAAATAATATACTCTATATTTCAGAGATATATTGAGACAAAAATGTGTCTCTTATTGATATTTTAAAGACTATAAGAACAAAGAAAAAAGAAATTCAGAAAAGTGGCAAAAATCCCAGTAATGCATAGGTAGAACACTGTACTCTCTAATTTGATTATCTTCCTAATACTCATGTATTGGCTGTAATGGAAACATTTATAGCACCCCCATTTTAAATTACCAAGTAAGTACTACTAAAGAAGCATGTCAAAACAAATGTTTGGATGCTACTTGGAGAACTCTGATTATGTTATTCTAAAAAGCTTGAATTAAATCAGTTTGGGATAATATGTAGCTGTCCAGTTCCCTAATAGTAGTCATGTTTTATTAACTAAGCTCTATAGAACTCAAAATGTGTCCTAATTTCCTCTCCTTTGTATTTGTATGGGAATTAAGATGAATGGTATAGAACTTCTATTTATGGTGAGTAGATAAATTGCATTATGTGAGCTATAGTGGCTTTACCTATGAGTAAGAATAAAAGAGAAGAAGAATGGAAAAGAGAATTATTAGGATGGAATTAGTCAGTATTTTACATGCAAATAACGAGCAATAATATAGTCTTTACCATTATATGAATTAACATTTGAAACAAGAAAATCATGGTTAGTTTTAACAAATTTAAATGACTGACTCTGAAATGACTGCTGTACAACCTTTGAGTATGTCAATCAGCGAGAAACAAGAATCATGCTTGTTCTAACTTAGTACATTATTGTCTGTGTTTGTATGTTAATGTGTGGAGGATAAGCTTCACATATAAAGTATATAGGTACCTTCCCTTCCACCTCAAATGCTTAAACCTGATCATTAGGTTTAAGAATTCATAGAAGAAATGTGCATTTAAAACCATAAGATGAAAAAAAAAAAAGTCTCAATGTTTTCCACTGTTTTGGAGAAATTCTTCACTTAAATTGTGGATTTAGGATAAAAATGAGCCATATAGTCTCTTTGATACAAGCAGTCATCCTGTGTAGCCAATTTGCTCTGAATGAAAGTAATGTTTTCTTTTGAAAATAAAATGTTTCACCAAAATCCAGCTAAGGGCTTTGTGTTGGAATTCATAGCAGGAAAACAGTGTCCTCTGGGAGACTCAGTGAATATGACTGTTCAAAGACAGGTCTGAAAATGAGCAAGAGCCCATAGTGAGTGAGACAGAGGGTTTCAGGAGAAGAAATATTGTTCTTTGGTGTTGAAAGTATAGAACAGAAATCCTGTATTAAGGAGATGTCTACTTGGCCATTTCATGGAATCTTATTTTAATTTTTAATAGATGATTATGATAGCAGTAGGAAACTGAATTACATGAGTGTGGCAGCCTTAATTCTTTTTGATTGTGCAGCTGTAATATTTAAGTAAAGTTTATAATGTATCATTTTATATACAATACCAACTCTAAGAACAGGTGGAATACCTGACTGCTTGCTCCAAAGAAGAGCTAGGTAGTAAAAATGGAGATTCCTGTATGTGGAATATTTATTTAATTTTGCAATCTCTCTTTACTGAGAGAATTCATGAATTAGCAAGAATGATGATAAATTATTTGATCATTTTTCAATAGAGTCTGGAAATCTGCCAGGAAAAAAAATAGCATAAAAATATCTTTGGTTACAAAATTGCAACTTCAAGTTCATTGTGCTGCAGATATAATAGAAAACACAAGCTTTACATGAAAGTATGGACACAAGTTATGTGGAGGTCCAGAGCAAGCTGTCATTTTCTAGTGAACTTTTTGAAATTAAAAACCATTGTTTCCAAAATGAAGTTCTCAGATTTGAGATTTCTGTTTTACTGTCTGGTTTTTTTATGTTAAAATATCTATTATTGAAGAGAGTTATTATTTTATAGAAAACCAAATCAAGTGTTTGGGGATCATAGTAATGGAATACTAGACTCTCCAAGTCAGTGTACTTTGTACTGTAGAATAACTTGCTGTATAGTGATGGAGGTGCCCTTGGTAAGAGTGTGTTGTGTCTGAGATATTAGACTATTGGAATTCAATCCTTATTCCATCCACGGATTAATGTTTTTTTTTAAATAGGCCTCATCTCGCTAATAAAAAAATTATTGTTTTAATGTGCTGAGCCTATCCATTACAAGTATAACATTTATTACAGAATATTAAATGGATTTAAATATAATTAACTGAAAGTGAGTTAGAAAATTAAGATAAGTTTAAATTCAAGTTACATTTCACAAGAAGATTGAGTTCAGCACTAAAAAGCAACCCATTTTCAAGGTTTTTTACTTAATTTTTTACTAACATCACACTAGACTGCAAAACTCTCTATTTTGTCTCTGCTTAGTGAAGCCATTTGAGTTCCTTCAGAATTGAATATGATCCAAAAAATTTAATGGAATAATATTTATGCGATAATAAAGTCACAGTACATAACAGTCATGTCAGGCAGAGACATCATCATTTTCTATCAAGGCGTGTTCAGCATTGCATGTTTATAAACACGAACTAAAGTGCAGTAAGCTGTAATAAAACATGCTTGGTTAAAATACTCTCAGTAGAGAATTCAATCAGTCAGCTCTTATCTCTTCTGAGAGTGAGTTCGTTCCCAAACAGCATGACTGTGTATACAGAATGTTTTCTGAAGTGGTGATTGTGAAATGCAGGATGGCTGCTGTAATTGCCTCATTGTTCAGCCTATGTCACAAAATTATGCTCATCATGCACCATAGGTGCTTCTGTGCATATAACGTGCACACAACACTGGGCTTCATTCTTTCCTTTGACATGTGACATTGAGTATATTTCTGTTCTGGCACTCTTAGAGCTGTTCAGATAGGGGACTAGCAATATATTGCATAAAGGCAGACTGATGAAACTTTTCTTTTATGAAAAAGTCGTGAAATAGCACAAGAACACTATGGCTGGAAGCACTGCCAAAATGGTAATAGGTGTGTTTGGGCTTAAGGCCAAGTTAGTGATTTTGTGATGCTATTTCATATCAGTTTGTCCCTTTGATTTTCTCAGAAAAGGAAGGTATACAGGCAATATCCAGCTGTGCTTTGGGAATTTCTAGCAGCTACAACAGTGTCTGGAGAATTATCATTGGGTGCTGTAAATCTGAAGACTTGTCACTGCACAAGTTAGTACTGGAGTGAGCTGCCTTCAGGTAGCTTTGGAATCTGTGGGAGCATAAACCTACCTTATAGCCATTTATTCCCTCAGCCATAAGCCCACTTATGCCAAGTGGAATAAGTCACTTTTGCTTTTCTGGTCCCCACCATATCATTCTTTACATCATGGCACAATAGAAGCAAGGTTACATGGTGTGCAGCAGATGAGAATGTAGCAAACAAGTGAGGCAATACTGCCTGTTGTCCCAGTTATTGAGGAGAACAGTCCAGAGGGGGATTATTCAGAGTATCTTCCAGTGCATGTATTTTGGAAGTTCTGGTCTTTTATGCTTAAGGTTTTGCTGTGTGTCATTTGTGGAGCGCAGGGAAAGACTAGATATTCCTATGGCATACCGTGGATTTAAAATCCTTCCTGCATTCTCACACTTTCATTCCAGTGTCATTTGTTCAGGATAGATTCAGCTCAGGCATAAGCAGACACAGCTGTACAACTGTGGCATTGCTTAGGACAGGTGATTGGACACCATGATAAGCAAGAGCTTATGAAATATAAGGTTTTCAGCCTCAGCTTTTGCCATATTTGGTGCCTTGTCTCACCTTTCTAAGCAAAACCAGAGCAACTTGTTCACTAAGTTTAGCAGCTCATTTTGTGACACAGAATCCTATATTTTATGGCAAAGTCTTGAAATTAGGTATACACACTCTGGAGAATGTGTCTCTTCAACCATTTATTTCTACTGATACAAATATGTGTAGAAAAGTTGGTTATGTTCCTTAATATTTAGATTACTTGAACTACTGAAATACTATGATATTATCAGTAGTTCTTCATACAGAAGAGATGCATGTTAGGCAATGCCGATAAAGAAAATACATCTTCTCATGAGCTGTTTCACTGACTTACTGATAGTCAATTCTCAACAACACCTGAGAGTTCTGTCAACATTTCACCTCACTTTCCTTTCTGTAACTGCCTCATGGAGTTTTTTTCCATGCACTCTTTGTTTTTCTGTCCAATACAGGGAGAAAATGAAGGCTCCTTCTTTTATAATCAAGTTGTTTATGGGTTTGAAGATAGAGGCAAAAGTAATCAATAAAACAAATGTGTTTAAATCTCTTTTTTGCCCTTTTATGACTTGACTCCCTGCTATTTCTCACTTCTACCTGAAATCAATGACACATTTCCTATTGATTTGCTATAACAGGGAAAAGATCTAGCTGCCTGTTAACAAAGTGTAGCATATTGAAACTCAGTGAGGTGAAAGCATTGGTTAAAGAGATGCTATCAAAAACTCTATTTTCCTGTAAGACTTTTTAAAGGAAAATAATTTTATTGTCATAGTTACATGCTTGTATAATAGTTTTAATTATTTTTTTTTTAAAAAAAAACCCATGTTGTTGAATTTAGAAGCAGCTCTTGGGGAAAAGGTCTTACTGTTCTTATCCAGAGTTTGATTTGAGCTCAATGATGTTAGTTACATTTTTCCTGTGGACTTGAATGGTTTCAGATCCATCAGATTTATGGACCTTCTAGAGATTAGTAAGAATATTGTGAAAACCAGAAAAACTATATGAAGAGGATGGTACTTTTGAAATATCGGTCTTGATTTCCCGAA